CTTGCAGCGGGACGGGTGGCTGCATCTGCGCGCAGGCGTGCGTGTGCCTGTGTGTTTGTGTACATATATATATCTCTATATTTTTTTTTCCCATGGGCGCGTGTGTGTATATCTATATCTATTTGGACGCTTGGGCATATTACAGAACATATGTGCGTACGCAGAACCGATATGCAGGAGTGCGTATGCGCACCTCTGTGCGTGTGGCCGTGTGCATGCAACGTATAAGCTCTGTGCAGGTAAATATATACGTGTCTGCTGCGCCTAAGTGCACGCATGGGCAAGACGTAAGTGCATATGTAGATGTGTGCATGTAACTGCTGATGTAGAGGTATAGGTGTATAGGCACAAATATACATAAACGTACCTGTATATACAAAATGTGTGTGCATATATATATATACACACAAAACACTCTCTCTCTCTGTGTATATACAACACATATATACATATTTTCCAAGAGAGATTGTGAGTGTAGCAGGAGACAAGAAGAGTGTCAGGCATAGATTTGTGATTTATTTTTATATATATATTTTTTGTATATGCATACAAACACATGCATATGTATTTCTGTATACATATATACATGTGCGTCTCTGTGTGCACGTACATACAATACACGCACCCATGTATATACACAAAACATGTCTCTTTCAAAAGCGATTGTGAGGGAAGGAGACAGCAGAAAGAGTGGCAGGCACAGCTTTGTAATCCATTGCATAAACGTATATACGTGCGCATACATACAATGCATAGATGTGCACATCTATGCAAAGCGTGTAGTTATGTGTGTGTGTGTTGGTATATACAAATATATATATGTATATATGCATATGCAGACATGCACGCACAAGCAGCGCTGCCGACGCTGCCGTCGGGGGGATGCGCGGCCGGCCGGGCGCCGGCTGCACCTCTGCAAGGCCTTCCTCTCGCTAGCTCCGTCCGTCGCTGCCCGCTCAGTTTGAGCTGTTCCAGGGCAGAGGGAGGAAAAAGTAATAACAGCTTGGTTAGATTCAAAAGCCACGTCCCCAGAAGGTAATGGCGTAACCTCTACTGGTAGGTGGAACGCAGGATTAGGAGCTGACGATAGACATCAGTTTTCAGCGGCCTGAATTTGTCCGCCTCGGTTTAAAGGCCCAGACACGCAGCAACCCGCTTACAGTTGCCATGAGAGGAAACAATGACCTTTTTCCTGCCTGACCTCGGGCAAGCCGCCGGTTCTTACCAGCAGAATGACGACCATATTTTGCTCTCGGACGACTAATGGCAGGATTACATACCTGTTGGCAGTGTCTGTAATGTGGACAGTGCAATGAGTCCCAGCAGCGGCTGTGGGAAAGTTGACGGGGCGAAACAAGCCCACAGAGGTAGTGCCAGCTCTTAGGTTTAGCTCTCGTAGCCCAGTTACTGGGTCTTCTGCAGTTTCACAGCCGTGGAGAGCCGGCTCCCGACCCGCAAAGGTCAGAGGCTGTGGCTAACGCGTCCGCATGTTCACACAGACGCTTTTCAGGGAGAGCAGGAAGCCCCAGTTAGGGTATTTCGCGTGTATGCAGGGCCCTTATCGCTGTGCAGCTGTGGCTGGCCAACGCAAGGACTACCCTTTGAGTCGCTTCACTTTCCTTCTGGTATCTTACGGCTGTGTCCACGTTTGCAAGCGGCGCAACCTCCGCGGGGCGAAGCGGCTGGGGCTGAGGACCGGGCGCCCGCTCCCTACGCGCCTCAGGGGGTCGTAACTTCAGACCAGCTTTCATCCAAGCCCAGGGACTGAACGTCTTTTTGTGGCCGGAGCGCGTTTGGCGCAGGCTAGAGCACACCTTCGAGTTCAGTTTCACCCGAAAGAAATCCAGTTCACGTGCTCAGCGGCTGCTCCGCAGTACACATCAAAGCACAGGCCAAGGACTATCAAGAGATTTTTCCCTGTAAACACAGTCCTGATCCAAAATAAAACACGTGCGCATCCCCAGACACTCACGCTCCTTTAGAGTTAGCGGCATTCACGATCATCGCTTTGCTTGGCTGTGAAATTTCCTGGAGGCATAGCGAGATATAGGAACATCTTACTGCAGCTGAAATAGCTGACATCCTCTGATAAACTCAGTGTTGCTGTTGTCTCAATAGGACATCTGCAATCCAAAGAGCGCTTCATTCGGAAGACAAAACACTGGGAATAAGTATTATGAGTGACTCTATCGCAATGCTACTGCATTCCTTTTGCAGGAGTTTAAAAGGCCACATTCATTTTTCACAGGCGTGCTGAAAGCAGACTACATATTCTTACTCGCAGAGTATGAGCATTGTTACAGATGTTTCATTCTTCTCCTCTGCTACTCCCAACCATTTCCAGTTCACTAAAAAAAAGTTGATTTATCTTTTTTTTTTTTTTTAATAAAAAGCTAATCGTCTGTATGTAAATCATGGAATCGTAGACTCGCTCTGGTTGGAAGGAGCATAGCAGGCCGTCTCTTTAGCCAAGCAGCGTACTCAGCTTTGACGTTTTAGCCGTCCTGACCTTATCTGGGACTTCGGCAAAGCCAGCAACAGAGCCAGCTCACACCCAGAAATCCCAGTAAGACATCCAGCTTCCCACGCACTTTTAGGCTGCGGGTTGGAAGAAAGAAAGCCAGAGCGATGTGTTTGCAGCTTAGCTTGCTGACGATTTAAGTTCTGACGTTGTTCGAAGCGTTGTGGTAGTACTAAGCAGTATTTCAGATGGTACTAGAACTGAAAAGGTACAAACTGTCAGCAGTTTTCTTCCTCCAAAAAAAATCAAATAAACCCCTAAGACCAAAGAAAACAGTGGTTTCAGGGGGAGGGGAGGTTTGCAGGCTATATTAGACCACAAAAATTCATTTAACTTTTTGGTAAGCTACTGAGGTCTTTAGGTTGCAGAACACTGTTTCATAAGCAAAACACCTGGATTTCTCCCCTACAGTTAGTGTTAACTTTTGATTTCAAGCACAGCTTCTGGGAATGG